CCTCGGACCCGCTCGTGCCCCCATCCGGACCCGCTCCCACCCCAACCCAGCCCACCGCGCTGCTTCCCCCCTCCCCGCCCCCAGTCCCTGCGGCGGCTGGTGGACGACTGCTGGAACGCGGACCCCGAGGCGCGGCCGTCCTTTGAGGACGTCGTGTCGCGCCTGGAGGAGCTGCTGAAGACCATGCCCAAGCACCTGCCCTACAACAAGGCGCACGAGCCCTGCTGCTCGGTGCAGTGACGCGGCCTCCTTACTGATGACGTCAGCACTGGGCCCGCGGCAGCTGAGGCCCTCGCTGCGCGGGCCGCGGCGTACCGAAATTTTGTTCTAGGTGTGTGCGCTGCGCCGCACGGCGTGGGAACGGGCGCGCCGCGGCTGCCAGCGCCCGCGGCGCGCCCAGGGCATGTCTGATTCGTGTGGTGTTCTGCGGGCCGCCGCCTCGGGATGGTCTGGGGTCTGAATTGGCTGGCTGACATGCACCCGTCCATTGCGGCCACACTGCCTGCCATGCGGCCAAGCAGCCTCGCACGGCCTCCGCAACTCTTGCGTGCGACCAAGCCGCATCGTCTGTTAGCCGCAGCGCCGCTCGGAACCGCGCGGCAACTGGTGCAGGCGGCGCCGGGTTGGGATGGGCCGCGACCGATCATGTTGGCGTTTGATTGGAACCCGGCGCGACAGGGGCCGGGTCATCCCGGGATGGGCGCCTGTGTGACGTGTACATAGTTCACCTGTGCTGATTACCTGACCCACCACCAAATCATTGAGGAATTTGAGCCATGGCACGCCTTTTGTGTGTGGCGCATTATCCCGGCCCGCACTGCTCGACACTGCTGCGCGCCTGCCGACGCTTCGTGAGGTTTGAGGCGCCTCGTTCGCAAGGTTTACTGCACAACCCCTGCTGCCGCTCCGCGGTACCTGTTGTGTGGGTGCGTCTGAAGGGTTTCGAGGCTCTTGAAGACTTGCAAAGGTTTGATGCAGACCCCATTGTTGGTTGAGAGTTCTTTACCAATACTCGGGGCCATGCAAAACACGACCATGTTTGGCGCTGGCTGTTTTCCTAGCTCACCACACGGCACCACAAATGGTGCTCAGCAGTTAGAACGCAGTCCAAAGGCAGAACACCCGGGCAGAACCGAAACCTACATAAAAACATTGCAAATCACGTGCAGTGTCAGTGATGTTGGGAATGGCCAGCGTTTGAAGGCAGTGGTGAGCCGGGGCAAGCCCCAATTGAACCTGATTGCAATAAATTGACTGCTTCGCATTGCTGCCTACAAGAACGCGAAAGCTAGTCATCCGATCACTCATTGATGCACTATCTGTTCCACCATGCCCAGCAAATCAGGCGCCCCTCAAACGCTGCATGGCTTGGATGGTGAGGCTCGCAACCCTCGCTGCAAATGTTCCCAGCCTCCAAACCACTTCGCCGGCGGACACCGGCCCGCCGGCACCTGCGGAGCCCGTGCCTGGCTCAGGCAACGTGGCATCCTTGAGCGAGACCAGAGGGAGTGGCGTTTTCTGTTCCCCTGCCGGCTGCCCCGCCGCACCATTGCAGAGCACGCGCCGCAGGTCCCGGAAGTGGCTGTTGGTGGTTCCCTGCGCCGAGAGCCGTTGATGGGTCTGTTAGGCGGCAATGACTAATAGGTGTGTTGTGTGGCTGGTGTTGCCCCCAAATACATGCAGCAGTGGTAACTTTGCTTGCGTTTGTGCAACTGCCAATGATGTGATTTGTCGCACCTGGAACGCCCTCCCCGCCCAAAGATATGTATCGCTGCATATGGACGAACAATATGCACTCCTAAATCAGGCACTTCCTTGCCGCACACCTGGTTGGCGCCTCCAAACCCCTCAATTGGGTGGCTCCACTGCACGCATTGCGGTCATTTTGCATGAGTTGGGCGGAATTAAGTGCGACGGTCAGTGGCTGGGGGTGAGGAGCGCGTCAAGTAGCAGCAGCGAGCCGCAGCTGACCCTGCCTGCACTGAAAGCCTACGGATGCGACAGTGCCTTGGTCATCATGACCACTGGGACTGCGAAGCAAGGACTTGCGCTTGTCGCACCATCGACATGGTCATGTGGCAGGGCTTGTTTGGGGGCTCAAAGGAGACATTCTTGGGGCCGTTCCAAGCCATCCAATTCATGGGCTGCCCCTTGGTGCGATGCTCAAGTGTTTGGCCGTCTAGCTTCCATGAAACATGGGTCGGCTGAAAGCGAGTGACAGGACAGGGACAGGGACATTGAGTGTTGGATCGGTGGCCTCTTCTCACATGTGGGCGGTCAGCACGGAGAGCTCCAACAACCACATAAAGGGATCCTGCATGCATCACAGTTGGGCGCTCTGGGCAAGGCGCACTGGCTAACCTCCCAGATGAGCGCGCCGCCTGCCCACCTGCCAGTCGATTGTGTAGGTGTGGTACCCAGCTGAAATGATGCCGACGCCTGTCAGTGGGCCGTATTTGGCTGGCAGTACCAACAACTCCCCATTTGAGGTGCCGTTGGTGAGAGAATTGAGCCAGATGCTGCCGGGGACAGCTCCACCCTGCTCTTTTGCGCCGCCGTTGATGAACTCCCAGCTGCGATATTGTGGTGGGCAGCAAGTCAAAGGCAGCAAGGGGGGCAGCGAAGCACTTGAGCAACCAGAGTTGTGGACGGCGTGCGCACGAGAAGCAGTCGTGCAGCACACACGAGCGGAGAGAGTTTCAAGGCTGAGAGCCGCGCCATAACACATCTGCACCACACAGGTACGCAAGAGGTGTTTGCCTGCAGTGCTCACTCGATCTCACTAAAATCAGTCGTCTCTTGGTGGTAGTCGCTGCGCAGCTGCGAGGTGGGCAAGATGGGTGGGGAACCCGGCCGGTCGTTCAGAGGTTGCTGCTTGCTGCTGTTGCATTTCAGATTGCAGAACCGGATATAATCCGGTGGGGCTATTAGCCGCACTCACATATGCGCCTGTCACGGCTCCCACGGCGGAGCTGGGCAGCGCGGACCACTGGAACATGCCATAGAGGCTGTCGCCGTCCGCCGTGTGCACGCGCGTGCCGTCAATGCCGACTAGCTCCAGCGCGACGCCGCCGTCTGCGGCGGTCGGCTTGACACGCTGGGGGTTGTAAGAAGCCTCCAGGTTTGAGGATCCCAGGGGACCCAGGTTGGAGAGACGGCAGACGGCGCCTGCACCTGCGGTGAGGCGCAATTTACGCGGGGCGGCAGCAGCGTCGAATCACGTGTGCAGATCAAGACGATAACGACACCGAGATGACAAACAGCAGGTGAGTGGAAGTTTGCGGCTCTGTCACGGATGTGCTTGTGTGAGCAGAGGCATAATTTGGAAGCAGGCAGGGCTTCACACCGCACCCTGGTGGTTGTAATACAGGTCAGCAGCCCCGCCTTCCAGGGCGGCAGGGGAGCAGGCGTCTTCAGTCAGCGCCGCCGCGGGGATGACGCTGCTGCAGGCGCAGCGCCCGCCTTGCTGCAGCGCGGCCAGGGGGTGCCGTAGCTTGGCGCAGCGGTCGGTGCAGGCGGACGGCAGCGACTCTGCGGCCCCATCGACGACGGCGGCTGTGTCGGGCTGCAGGCTGACGGCGGTGGCGCTGAAGCACCCCAACAGCGCAGGTGCGGCTGCAGCGTCGTGCGTGGCAGCCACCACGAGTAGCAATACAAGCAGCTGCATGGGCCTGTCGCGAGGGTGGTGGAGCGACGAGCCGAAGCGCTAAAGTCGTCCTTGGAAGGGCAGGCAGCCCTGGCAGCATTTTGCACTCTGCAGCTGGGGGCCTTGCGCGTCTGTTGGGTGCATCACATGGAGTCGCCCTGAACAAATCAATTCCTGACCTGTTTAACGGAACGTGGCCGACCAGTCACGCGGTTCCGGATCCTGCGAAAATTTTCTCCCTGATCGCCTTCGTCGTTGTATTCACACTGGGATCCAAACTTACTAAGACCTACCCCAAAACAATAGGGTCCCGACAAAAATGTGTTGCTTATACAGCACTCGGCGCGTTTGAGGCTAACAAGGCAGCACCTGCCTGGCAACAGCTCCGTCAACAGCCAGCACGCCACCTGCTGCCTCGGACGCACGTGCACACCTGGCGCAACACTCACAATCGAGCTGCTCCGTCTCAGCCTCCGCCAGTCTTTTGAGTTCAGTTTGGCACATCATGACCCAAAATAATCAAGGTGTTTTGGTTTACAGCCATGGCCTTGCCAACGTGCCACCCCAGCGGGTTTTATCTTGGTGCTCCTCAGTGTCCTTACTGCAGCACACTCAGTGCATCCACTCGACCTTCTTGCGACCGAAAAAGGTGGGCGGCGCGATGCGCTGCTCCGCCGCCGCGACGCGCTGCAGGTAGCGCTCCTCGGACGCATGCGCCAGCTCTGCCGCGTGCACCTTGTCCTCCGCCGCGGCCGCGCGGAGGTGCGCCCGCGCCATGACCTGGCCGGCCGTTCGACGCAGGCAGAGCGGCAGTTCCGTGTCAGCTCGGCGGCGGACAGTCAAACAGGTCATGGATGTTGCAGAGCGCGGCAGGCGGGGCAACCATGCAGCGAGGCAAATCATGAGCGGCACTGTCAAGCGGGGTCCAGGACCTGCAACCCCAAACACACAAGGGGCGAAAGCAGCACGCCTGTGATCCGAGGCGGGGCCCGCGCCCGCGGAGGCACCGTGCCTCCAGCAGCTTCTTGACAAAGCTGCTGCACGCTCATCAGTGCGCTGTCTCCGCGCGCGCACCTGTGTCTTGACGTCCAGCGACTGCTGCAGCGCCTTGCGCCGCGCCTCTGCCGCGGCTGCGGCGGCCTCCGCCTCCTCGCGCCGCTCTGCGGCGATCGCCTGGTCGAGCTCCTGCCGCTTTGACTCCTTGCCCAGACGCCTGCGTGGTGCAGGGAGTGAAAGGTGCGAGCGTGCAGGCACACATGCATCAACAGGAGGTTGCAAGCTCGCATGGCCAGCAGTGGGCATGCAAACTCCGTGCGTTTTGCAACCCTTGCCACGTGGACAGTTTGGCTGAGCCCACTTAATCCACATGCTGCCGCGTTTCGACATGCGGGCAGTGCCGCGGGCACACGCACTTCTGCTCCTGCTTGTATGCGATCTGCACCCTGCGTATGGCGTCCACCTCCGCCATCAGCCGCCGCCGCGCCTCCTCGCGCGCCGCCCATTCCGCGTCCTGCGCCGCCTGCTTCTCCCGGTTGGCGCGCTCTATCAGCAAGTCCCGCTCGCCCGCCGCCTCCGCCTCGCGCTGCATGGACAGCGCCAGCTGGTGGCGGTAGTGCAGCACCTAGGGGCGGCGGGTGGCGCCCCAAGGGTGCGGCGGCACGCATTGAAGGCTCTTGGGCCGGGTGCCAGCGCGCTTGACCCCATGCACAAACGGAGTGGGAGTCCAGGCCACTGCGCAGACTCTGTCGGCGATGACAATTCGACTGGGGGCAATCGATCCCGGACTTTTGCGCTGCATCAAGCCCCGGGCTGCGTTGCTGCGCCACCGGAGGTCGCTGCGCTGCCGCGAGCCCGGCAATGGCGCAAGCCCACCTCCTGGCGCTTGGCCTCGCGGGCCGCCTGGTCTGCCGCCTCCTCGGCCGCCTCCCTGGCCAGCGCATCCTGCAGTATCCGCAGATTCAATTCCCTGGGGCGGCAGTGCGTTTGTGGTGACGAGCGCTGTGTCATGAATTTGAAGGTCCTCCTCCAGGCCCCCCCCGGCGACGCTGCCACACCCCCGCCGGCTGGTCGCCCGCAACGTACCATGCTGGACACGGCTGCGTTCTCCCCCAAACATAGGCAGGACGGCCAGGTTGCCGGCCGCTGCGTCGGTTAGCTGGGTGCGACCCCGTGCTCCTGACTAAAACCCGGTCCGATTTCCCTTCCAAAATCCATTCCCTTTTTCTTGTGCGCACCTCTCCCTGCGCTCCGCGGCGCTCATCTCCGCGAGCTTGAGCCTGTTGAATTCCTTGACCTCCGCCGCCAGCCGCCGCAGCCGCTCGCGCTCCGCAGCGTCGGCCGCTGCCGCGTCGGCCTCGAGGCGCTCCCAGTGGGCGCGCATGGCGGCAACCTCGCGCGCGTCCGCCTCCGCCTCAGCGGCCTGGCGCTCGCGGACGTGGTGGACCTGCATGGGATGTGATTGACCGCCAGAAAAAGGTGCGGGCGCTGGTTTTGGTGCACCGCGGACTCTGTTCCACCGGCGGCTGCCGCAGCCGACAGAGCAGGGGGCACGGCGGCAAAAGGTCCCATGCCTGCAGGTGGCGGCGCAGCACCGTCGTCGCGGCGCCGCAGCTGCCGCCGCAGCTGCGCCGGTGGCTGCGCATTCTCAGCGCCGCACCTGCCCGTCCAATGACGCCTTGACGGCCTGGGTCGACTCCTTCTGGCGCCGCAGGTCATCTTGGTGCCTGTCGATGCCGAGGTGCAACCCATAGAAACAAAGGTTTGCACCAGACCTGGCACCCAGGGGCCATCCAACCGGAGCACCAAAGCACCCTCCGCGCCACCCTTGAACCCTGCTGTGCAGCGCCGGCCCACTGCAGGTTTCCCGCTGGCGCAGCTGGCGTTTGTACCCCGCGCGCGCGCGCGGGGTGCACCTCTGCTCGGCGCGAATTGTCTGCTCAGCAAACATCGCGTCCTCCAGCCGCCGCTCCTTCGCCGCCAGCGCCATTGTCGAGCGGCGCTCCTCCAGCTGCGGTTCAACGGCAACGTCGCCGCGCTGTTGCTCCACTTGACATGCACGCATTCACCGTCCAGGCACTGCTGGAGCACACTGCAGCGTCCGACTCGAGGCAACGCTCGTGCTCCTGCCGTGAACTCTGCCTGCGGGTGCGCCCCGCCCCGCCCACCTGCTTGCCCCACTCGTGCTGCGTGCGCTGCGTGATCTGGCGGCTGTAGCGCTCCCTCAGGGGGTCGCAGTTGTCCCGGAAGGCCGCATCAAGCAGCTCCTGGGCCAGGGCCTGCACACAGATTTGCCCATGTGCCGTGCATGCTGGTGTGCTGCTTCTGCCGCTGATGCTGTCTCAGCTGCTGCTACATATGCGAAATCGTCCCGTTCCATGGAACCAATAGCTGTGGCTGGCGCTGAACGTGAGCAACTAGACCTGCAGCAAGTGACCGGGTGTACAAGTGAACGCACATGCGTGCGGCCGCAAGGCGCGCCGCCACACCGCACCTGCCGCTCCCCTTCGCGCCGCACCGCCATCTCCCGCGCGCGCTCCGCCATCGCCGCCCGCCGCTGCGCGGGCGTCTGCTGCGCGGCCGCCAGCTCCTCCTTGAGCGCCTGCTCCTCTTCCGCCAGCTTCTGAGCTAGCCGCTCGCGCCTCAGCTCGATCTCCCCCGCGCGGGCCGCGCGCAGCGCCTCGAAGCATGCCTGCTCGGCGTTGCGCTGGATGCGCGCGTCCGTCTTGTGCTGCCACGCTGCACCTGAGCCGAGCTTGCTTTCCTCCTGTTTGGCGGCAACACAAGGTGCATGTGTGTGTGTGTGTGTGTGTGTGTGTGTGTGTGTGAGTATGTGCAACACATGAAGTGCCTGTTCCACATCCATTACGGTCTCTGCGGGGGCAGCACGCGTTTGTAAGGGTCAAACCTGGCTGGCTGGATGCGCCATCCCACCTTGGCCGCCTGCTGCATCTGCTGCATCCGATCCTCATACTCGCGGATCTTGGTGATGCGTGCGTCGGGCGGTGGCTTCTTCTGCAGTGCGAGTGCACGTGCAGGGGTGGGACGTCGGCCGTAGAAAGCTGCGGGGGCCGCTTGTTCATAGCAGCGACAGTGCGATGTGCAGCGCTGGCGCACACCGTCCTCAGGAGAGACATCGCAGCAAAGCTAGCTGGCCAGGCGCCTGCTGGTAGGAATGTCTTCTGCTGTTCCAAGATTTAGAAAACTGCGCCTATATACGAAACTCTGACCGCGGTCATAGTCAGGATTCGACCACGCGTTGGCTGGCAGACGTTCCACTCCACCAACAGAACTTCAATCTGTAAAGTTTTTTTAAGAGTCACTTGAGCTACTTGCCGTGTAATGACGGCGATCTGAAAACACAGTGAGTGTATATAAAGCGACAGTGATGGAGCACGAACCACGAACTTTCAAATCATGTTGTACGAAATCACGGCTGTGCTTCTTGTGGCTGGCTGCGCGCGTGGCCAGTTGCGGTAACACTTGCAAGTGACGACGCCGCCCCTTCAGACTTCATTCCTCCCTGTGCGACTTCAATAGCTATAATCAGCCCACCCACCTTTTTTCCCCTGCCTGAGATGCGCTGTGCTAATCACAGTGCAGTACATAGGGTGTGTGTGCCGCACTGCACTGCAAACTCGGGTGTGTCCTTCAATCACCAGTTTCGTGCAGCAGCAGGTACTATCAGCCAAGGTCTGACCAGACACGAACACCAGCACAGTGCTGCTAAGACAGCCACTGCCTTGTGAACTATAGAATCACCTGCACGCTGTCGTGTCTGCTGCAACCTAGGCACTGCCGCCAATGCTCCGTGTGTTCAGCTGCTGCCGGGGGCACATACGACTCAGCACTGCACCTGGACAAGAAGGTAGCAGCGCCCTCATTACTCGTGCTTGCCACGGTTGCTCACGTGGTCGGCCCCGCACGTGCACACACAAAGCTGACACGCACACCTGCCGGGACCAGCTGTCTGATGCGAGCTGCCTTAAGTGAGTCGCCTGCCATCAACATACCAGCCAACGCGCGTGACGAAAGTGGAAGGGCATGCGGGGGGGAGGGCGAGAATGAGCGCTGGCGGCGGGGGAGCTGCTGACAATACACTGCTGGCGGTCCGTCTGAAGCCGGTCACTCCTATCTTGAGCAGCTGACTTGGGTGATTTCTCACCTTTTTTGTTACAGTATAATGAATGAAACTCCTCCGCCAGCAGCGAAGTGCCACTGCCTGTGCGGCAGCTGCTTGCCTGAGAGGCAATGCGGCAATGGCTGGGCCTGGTTTGACCTCTGTACAGCGCGTGCCGGCAAGGCTGCCACGCAAATCCCGATTATTATTATGCACCAGAGTCAGCCCCCATGCGCCGCTGTGGCAGTGTCAGCCAGGCTGATGTGGCATAATCGTTCGCACTCGATGACACAGGCGGGGCGTCAGGGGTGCCATCTCGAGTTCAGCAGCAGGCCAGAATGTCACTAGAACAAGATGGTGTCGCAAGGCGGCCAGAGGATGGACCTCGGTTATGAAAGGGCGCATTCACTGCATGAGTGTGCGTGAGTCAGTTCTGCGTGGGTTTGATTGCGCGCGGATCATGCATGGCGCCTGCATTATGGTGTCGGCGCACCGCGCGGACCGGCGATGGTCAGAGGTCAAGTCGGCGGCGCGGCGGCCACAGCTCTTGGTTTTAGGTCAGGTCAGCGGCATTCGCCTCAGCCTTGGCTGCGACGAGAAGCCTTGCAAACGGTGGTTCCAAAAGAGCGGGCCCCAAGTTTGCTCGAGTCCGGGGCAATGGCAGCTTGCAGCCCGCAAATGCGCGCGCACGGGGGCCGTCAAATTCAAATACCGCACGCATGAGCGTTTGGTCTGGGATCAGCCATGAGCACTGTTTGGATGCATACCGTAGGCGCACAACAAACGTGCGTTGGGGCTTGCAGGGTTCCAGCCGCTGCGTTGGTCCGTGGCTCTAGGTGCGCCCGGAAGCAGGCAGGGCAGTGCTAAACCCTGGGCAGGTCTTGGCCTGCATCCCGGTCCTGCTAAAGCCCAGATCCCCCGCGCGCTTCAACAAGACGCGTGAATATCTCTTGTGTTGATATTGATGAAAATCCCGCCATGGCCTCTTTCCGGCTCACACGCCGTTTGTGCCGGCAGAAAGCTGGTGATAATTGCTTGTTATGCGGACACGTCCGTCGGGTGTGGCGGGTGTGCACGCCGCGGTCACAGCGCGCCGCCGGCGCCCTTGGCCTGCGCGCGCGCCGCCTGCAGCTCGCGCCACTGCTGCTGTAGCGCCTGCAGGTCCCGCTCCAGCGACGCCTGCTGCGCGCTCTGCTCGCGCGCGGCCGCCGCGGCCGCGGCCGCCGCCGCGGCCGCCGCTCGCTGGCGCGCCTCGAACGCCGCGTAGCTGCTGCCCCCGAAGCTGCCTGGCTCCTCCCACACCCCCGGGCCGCCGGCGGGGACCCCTCTGCCGCCCGCGCCCGGTTGGCCGGATGCCGTCGCTGACGTGGCGGCGGCCTCGGCCCCGCCCTCGGAATCGCACGTGGCGGCTGGGTCGGACGGGGCCGCGGAGGCGGCGGCCGCCGCCGCGGCGCGGGCCGCCAGGATTTCCGCCAGCCGCTCCTTCACCATGGCCGCGGCGCACGTGTCGGACATCTGCTGCACCAGGTAGGCGGGGATGGGCGTGGTCTTGGGGCTAAAGGTGCACTCGGCCATCTCCTGGGCCTGATTTTTGAGGGGGGGGATGGAAGGGTTTAGGGGGGATTGGGGCCTTGGGGTTTAGCTGCAGGGGGAGTGTCCAGGTCGAGAGCTGGGTGCGGGTGCGGGTGCAGGTGCGGGGGCGATCCAAGGTGTGGAAGGTTGGGACGCAGGGGACCAGACGACTTGATTGTGATTTGGGGCAAAAACAAGGAAGGCCCTGTGATAACACACGAGCTGCGGAGCGGGCCAGCCTGGGTCAGGCTATGCGGCGTTGTTGCCACACCAGAGTGCGCCATACCTGGCGCAGCCCGGCGCCGCAGCACCCAGGAACCTCGCCCCCCCCTGTCTCCCCGCCAGTGGGCGCGCGCACGCGGGCGCGCGCGCACTGCCGAAAAACCCGCGCACCTCCTTCTCCCGCGCCGCCCACGCGCGCCGCAGCTCCATGCGCCGCGCCTTCTCCGCGACCTGAGCCAGGTACGCGTCCGGCGCCGCCCGAACCTCCGCCAACTTCGGCTTCACCTCCGCATACGCGCCGTGTGCGGTCTCCGCCGACAGCTGCGGTTTGAACGTGGCCCCGCGAAGCTCCCGGGAAGCCGCCGCCGCGCGCGCCTCCGCCAGCCGGTGCTCGCGCCGCGCCTTCTCGGCAGCTGAGAGGTCCTCCAGAAATCGCGGCTTGGCCTTGTGGCCGCGGCGCGTGATGGCGGGGTGGAAGGGGAACGCGGCGTCTGCGCTGGCCGGCCGCAGCTGCTGCTCCATTCGCTGCAGGTAGGGCGACCCCTGTGCGGCACCCTCCTCCCGGCCGGCGGCGGGCGCCTGCGCCTGGCCAAAGCTGCCGATGCCGTCGCGGCGGTGCTGCTGCTGCTGCTGCTGCTGCTGCTGCTGCTGCTGCTGCAGCTGCTCCGTTTGTTGGAGTTGGCGGGGACTGCTGCTGCCGGCGACACCGCGCGCCATGAACTCCTCTTCGTCCGCGCGCCGCCTCTCACGCAGGATGCGCTGGGACCCGGGGCAGATCTGCAGTTTTTGGTGGGGCATCGGAGGTTGGTTGGGGATGTGGAGGGTTTGAGCGAGAGCCGGAGGCATTGACAGAGCCGGCATGGCCGGGAGGCCGCAGCACCGCCTGACCGGCGGCGACGGGCCCTGCGCACAGCTGCGCCCGCCTCTGTCGCAGCCCGAGGGCTCCTGCGCCCGGCTGCCCCCGCCCTCGCCCTCCCTGCACCCCGAGCGCCTCACCCTCGGCCCCAGCGCCCACTGCCCCTCCTGGCGCCGCCGCTCCCCTTCCACTCGGTCGGCCCTGCCCTCCAGGAACGCTTGCTGCCGCTCGATGAACGAGCCCCACCCCGCCTCGCCCCGCGGGTGGGCGCCCTCGCGCCCCTCGGGCTGCCCCGGAGACGCGGCATCCGGCGGCTGCTGCTGCTGCTGCTGCTGCTGCTGCTGCAGGCGGCCCAGCTCAATTTGCATCTCATGTTCCAGGGCAGACAGGGCGCGAGCGTCTGGCGTCGCGGCGCGGCGCCGCGGGGCCGGGCCGGCGGAGCGGGAGCGGCGCGGGGCGCTGGCGGGGCGCGGGCCGGAGGGGCCCGCGCGGGGGCGGGCTGGTCCACAGGGGCAGGGAGCGGGCACAGCGGGGGGCGGCCAGGAAAGGCGATGCGTCAGCGCTTCACTCGGAGATTGGCAGGAGGGTGGCGTCGCAGCGCATGATACGCGCGGCGTCCGAAAAGCAGTGTGCAGCGACGGGCCCGTGCAGCAGAGCGTGGCCTTGGGTGCGCGCCCGACGCACCTGCCCCTGGCGACGCCGCGCGCCCGGCCGCCGCCGCCGGGCCGGGCTCCCGCCTCGGCATGTACACGCGCGGCGCGACGCCCTCCGCCGACCGCGGCGCCACCCACTCGCGCGCCTCGCGCTCGGCGCGCAGCACGCGCTCCCGCATGTCCTCCTGCCTCATCTCGTACACCGCCGCCTGATCATACAGCCGGCGCCCCGCCGACGCGGACCGCCCCCGCGGCGCGCGCTCGTGCTCTTGATCGGCGGGCGCGGCGGCGCTGCGGCCGGCGCGGTCGCCGCACATCAGGGCGCGCATGAGGTCCTGCGCGCCGCCGCCGCCGCGCTCCATCGCGCGCGCCGCCGCCAGCGCCGCCTCAGTAAGCTCGTCCTCCTCGTCGTCACCGGCCGCGGCCGCGGCGGCGCCGCGCGGCGGCGCGGGCGCGGACTGGGGGCGGGCGCGGCC